AATAAAATAATAATATAATTTTTTAGCATCTCCATTTGGTTCAACAAAAAGAAAGCGTTGGAATCAAGAGGAAACTCAATTAATATTAACAAGTTTTCGTCAAGAAGTAGAAAATTCATGCTTACCTTCTGGAGGAGACATTGAAAATTTGAGACAAAAACATCCGTGTCTCCAGAATCGCACAGTGCCACAAATAAAAACTTGGCTTCATAACATAATTACCGGAAAAACAAAAATGCCAAAGATTTATTAATATATTATTCCAAAAAGCTAGTTCTACATTAGTTGCATTGCAGCGTCGCAAACGTTGAGATCTAGTTGTAATCCAATTAACGTCAAGCTACCTCAACGTTTCCAACTAATGTAGAACTTAAATGTTTTTAAAAGATTTTCAGATTTTAACTGTTATAAAATTAGTAACATCAGGAAAAGGATTTAATTTTCGTTTTGTTTGTAAACATTTCATTTTCTTAATTTCTTAGTTTATTAATATATAAGCAAAAAAACATCCAGCTTGGCTCATTAACCTCTTTGTTATTAAATTTGAATTTTATTATTAATAATATACCATGTATTCTACAAATTCTCTCTCTCTCTCTCTCTCTCTCTCTCTCTCTCTCCCTCCCTCTCTTTCAGATATTAAATTTTCACATTACAAAGATACATAACTAATTTTATTTTTATTTTATAACGCATGAGTAATTTAATAAATAAAATAAATTACTGATTTGTAGTGCCGTACCTTTTTCATGCAAAAATCAGTGTATCGCCCTGTGGAAATTCTGATAAAATAGTGCATTTTTCTGTCGGCGATTTCTTCATTTGGAATCGGTTGAATTTTGGCAGTTTCTGCGTTCTCCCTCTTCCCGAAATCATTGACCATATAATCGCTCGGTTAAGATTGTAAGATTGCCACGTACGATAACAGGATATCGCCGTAAAAAGGTGTCAGATCGAATCCTAAGTAACCCTGAAGTCTTATGTAGGACGTCGTTAAAGAAGCTTTAAAAGAAATTTTTAATTAGTTTTTTAAATTTATTTTCTAATAATTTTATCGAGAGCTAACAAAATCCAATAAAATTCCGATATAAATTTATTCGTACGTGTGCTAAAAGTCTGGAAATGCTAAATAACTTTTAAAGGACTCGAAGTATAGGATTGAAACTTATAGGGATCATAAAATTTATCATTTATTTCAGAAACATCTTAACATTTCCATAATAAAGGATGGGGAGGGGGAATCGAAAAATTTTTGCATGTATCATCAAGTGAAGGTTCGTTTTAAAAGACGTTTTCCGAGACGAAACACGATGTGACCGAAGAGTGTTAAGGTGAGTTTTTCCGACATTAAACTGAGAAATGGTAAATTTTATAATATCAGGATATACCTGTCCCAGTATATAAATCCCAGTACATAAATTGTCCTATACTTTGAACCCTACAAGTTATTTGTGCATTTCCAAACTTATGGTGCATTTGTATTAGATCACATAAAAATAAATATTATGTATGTTATGAAATTATATGTTAATAGATTTAATTTAACGGAGAATAGATATAGATCAAATTTATTTGTTATTTAATTACTATTTCTCTGCAAAATTTTATATATTTATTTTAAATATTATTTATTTTAATATTAGAACCTATACATATGAGAATGAAACATATTATAAATCAACTATTTAAATATACATATTAATGTTTAAATAATATTAAAATATATATTATGTGCGTTATAAAATTATACATTAATATGTTAATACATTTGATTTAATAGGGAAGAGATATATATATAAGATGATACTGTTGTCAATTAACTGTTCCTTCGTTAAATCCCAAAGATTCGTTTTGAATACTGTTTACAGGAATGTTATAGCTATATCATTTAATAATAATAATAACTAGATCTGTATCTATTTTTTATTACATTAAACGTATTAATATATAATTATATAATGTACATAAATACTGTTTTTGTATATCAATAATTTTGTATATCAATAAATATATTCATGTGTATCTTTATAAAGTTATTATACGATATGATTTATTCTCATGTTTTAAAGTATGTATTATTATTTGATAATAAATATACTCGTTATACACATACATGAACTATCATATGTTTATGTAATCACATTAATATCAATTTTTATCATACTAGAACAAAACAGCGCGCGCTTCGCGCGCGCCATTTATTCACTATCACTGAAACATGACACACACATACATACATACAATATATATATGTAATTCTGATTTTAATGAAACTTAGTACACTTTGAAGTCACATAAATAGATGAATTTAGAAATTATTAGTTGGGGCTAAAAAACGGTTTAAAGGGATAAAACTACGTCCCTTTATATATAAATTATTTTTTTCTTTTTTTCGTTAGATCTCGAAAATTATTCAAGAAATCAAAAAATGTTTTATACAAAAGTTTTACAATAAAATTATTTCTATTCATTTACGTTAATAAAAATGTTTTAAAAATGATTATTTTCCATATTTTTTAAAATATAATTATTCTAAACAAATATTATTAACGTA